GGGGGGGGGAGGGGGCAGCCAAAGGCGGCGTTGGGGGAACTGCACACACCCCGCCAAGTGTGACCCTGGCAGGCATGAATAATGGGCTCAACTTCGGCTGCTCGCCCACCAGAAACAAGAAAAAACGGAGCAAGTTCGGCCTGATGCCGCAAGCGAGCCTTGCTGCAATTCCCACCTCACACGCAACTGATCCCTCCCGCACTTTCCACCGACTTGAGAATGTCGCCCTGCCTTGCCTTGACTGCCGAGAACAATGGCCCACCAAGGGGTCAACGTAACTCATAAAGTTGCGCACGGCTGTCCGCTTTAAAGAGGCTGTGGAGCATCTCGTGATCAAGTCGTCGAGCGCAGCCTGGGAGGTCTTTGCGCATTGGGTGCGCCGTTCGATGCGGAGTTGGTCGGCGTGTGAGAGTGGGTCGTTCCGTTGCACCACCGATCAGCACGCTCCTCGAGCGGATCGAGTCGCGAGGTGACGGCATTCGACGCAACCAGGATGCAGAACAAGGTTCGAGACGCTGCTCGACCTCTCGACTCCTCTCTTGGCTTGGACGTCGCACGCCTGAAGTGTCGAACCCCTCGGCAGGCGTCTCCATCTCTCAGACGCTCATGCTGAGTGCTGCACCGCCTGCCGTGCTTCCAAATCCGCGGTTAATCTTTGCGGCAGCTCGCTGAAACGATGGTGCGCGCAAAGTGGCAAGCGAGGACCTAATCCTCCGAAAATCCTCCGCGCTCGCATTTCGCAACCCACTCATCCCCACTGTCCCGACACTCTCCGTCTGTCCAGCCTCTTGCCGCTCGAACCTTCGACGCAGAGCCGGACTACTTGATCCGGTGCTTTGTGCTTTCTTGATTGCATCTCCTTCTGTGGTTGGATGTGGGGCAGTCCTGTCCTCTCGTCAAGTGTTTGGGTGCGTCGAAGCGTGCGAATCTGAAGCGAAGCAAGACGACGTCAAGGTGAATGCCACCTTTCCAACTCAGCTCTGGCAGCTGCAACCGCGGAGAATTTTGCCCGCTCGCCGCACTTTGGCAGCGTGGACCGCGGTGCGGATCTGTCAGATCGGTCAAAATCGTCGGTTTGCTTGCCGCCTGCGCTGTGCGTCACGAGGTCGGGCGGTCCGAAACTGCTCCTTTGGCGAAGTCGGCTACGAGCGCGGCACTCGACACCGAAATTGTTCCGCATCGGCTCGTCCGCTCCAGCCTTCGGCACGCGGCACTGTCTGCGTCCGCGCCAGGTGGCTTCCCGCTTCATTTCGCGAGCTCCGGTACGTCACATGGTCGCTCCGTCTGCCCACGGCGGTCGCCCTTGACCAAAGACTCGGCCCTGCACTTCTTCGCACCCTCGTTTCGACCAGCAGGCGAGATCGCGATCGGCTGGACACTATCGAGCGATCGCATCGTTTGCTTGTTATCAGACACTGCGGCCAAGCGATCTCGTTTCAAGTCGCCTCTTGCCTCGACGATGGCGCGTGGCGCTCCCGCGAAGTCGTCTCCCCCACTCGCTGCGGCCGAAACGGCAGGTTCGCGGTGCGCTGTAGCTTTGCTCGAACTCGCTAATCGGGCCATCCGAACCGCAGCGCGCGTTCCTGCGCGGGGGCGGAACAGACTCGGCGAAACTCTTGCGTTAGCCTCGCTCGCAAGACCACGCGCTCGAGTGATATTCATGCCATCCTTCCGCGCCATGTAGAGATTGTGTGGGTCACCGGGCAGACTCTCTCCGGCTGATCACGTCCGCGGTGGGCCGTCGCCGGTGGCGAATTCAACGAGGTGCCCCGCACCAAAGCGGCGCACACACTCTGGGTTTGCGCGGGTTCAATTTGCCGGGTGTGGGGACAGCCTCGGAGAGTGTGCATGCGAGCTTCGGCAGGCCGTCTGCGCAGAAGCGTGGGGTCGACCCAACAAAGTTGAGTTGCACCTCCGCGTGGCTCGAAAGGTGCGAATGAAGCGATCTTCTTGGCGACCCTTTGGCCCCTTGCGATGTGTCACACCAGCTTACAGAAGCTTGACAGGTCGACGGCACATACGGCTTGGCACGGATGCCGAGCTTAATTTATAGCTCTGAAGCCTCACGAGTCGTTGCATTGCGCGGGACGAAAGAAGACAG